GCTACAAAGATTTATAATCAATTAAAATATTGATTAAGAAAATAGAATAAAAATTATTAAATTATATTCAAATGATGTTTTAATATAAATGATAATTTAAAATAATTCAAATGATGTTTTAATATAAATAATAATTTAAAATATTGCTCAAACACTTACTGTCTTATGGCTACATGATTAGGGTTGTTCAAATGACTCTTTGTTTGTGACCAGCTCGTGTTTGACCCGTTAAGCAAACGAGTCGAACACGCTTAACGAGCCGAACACGAACACACTTTTTGAGCTCAAAATATAAATGAGCCGAACACACTTTTTGGCTCCCTCGTATTCGGCTCGTTTACACCCGTAGTTCTACCCTTTGAATTTTTATTTATAATATTTTAAACGACACATTATAAATACTCCATAAAATCAAAATAGTGGTGACCGGTTATTTGTCAGAATAAGCTCTAACACGATCCGTTCATCTCAATCTCAACGGCTATAAATCACCAATGCGTATAAATTCCGAATACGGAGGCCATTACCACCGCCACTCGCCACCTATAACATGCCGCTCTCCCTGTCTTCCCCTGTCGTCTCCTCCCACCACCGTCTCTTTCCACCGGCGCCAACCTTCGACCATCCGGCGATCCTCCGATCATACCGTCCCTTCCAACCCCTCCGAACCACCGCCACATTCAGTTCTTTCCAACTTCGCCGGCGATCAACGAGTAACTTAATGGCGTCTTGGACGACTCCAGGAGCGGCGACGAAGGGGGGATCGGAGCTTCTTGTGTTTGAGAGTGAGGAGGAGTTGTCCGATTCTCTGGCCAAATACACGGCGGATCTGTCGAAGAAATTCTGTCTGGAGAGGGGGGATTTCACCGTCGTCCTGTCCGGAGGCTCGCTCGTCAAATCACTCAGGTTATAACTGCAAATATCGGGGGCCCCATGGGGATCTTTTCGAAACCCCACTATGTCTGTTGTTGCATTCGTTGATGTCGATGGATTTACAGGAAGTTGGTCGAGTCGCCGTATGCGGAGTCCATTGATTGGGGGAAGTGGCACGTTTTTTGGGCTGATGAGAGAGTAGTCCCCAAGGATCATCCGGACAGTAATTACAAATTGGCCTTCGATGGTTTTTTATCTAAGGTATCTGGAAAACACTCTCATCTCTTCCTTCTTGGTATTGCTCATCAGCTCATTAATCCCTTTGCTCCAATTTCTTTGTTTGTGAAGCATATCATACGAGCCACCTTTTTATTTACATGTCATACAAACTGTGCAGCAGTTTTATTTCTGAAATTTGCAACTCTTCTTGCTGTTACTTGTTCCTTCTGGAACTGCAGCTGAGATAAAAATTGATGAAAATTCTCCTATTACCATGATTTTGTATTCAATTAATCTCGAGCTACAGGTTCAATTATCAAGGGAATTGTGGGAAAACTTGCTTTACACAACTAAACGGTAATGCAACTGTAACTCATTTTAAAAAATGGATAGCATGGTTCATCGACAATTGTCATATAATGATGCATTATTAGCAAGTCTTAACTGTTTAATTTGGTGTCAATTTTAAAAACAAATTCATAAGTGAATTAGAAGTTCTATTTTTTTTACATATGGAGGCAATCTAACAGCCATAGAACGGTAAAAGAAAGAAAAAATATTGACACTATTGAGCATTATTTAATGTTGTATACTGCAAGCAGTATAGAATCAAAATCATTATACTAAATTTAATCGATAATATTGTTGGCTGAAGCTCACTTAAATCTTGATACTATTTATATTTAGATATCATTAAGCTAAACAAGCGTTAAATGCTATCTTAGGGATTATGTCATTGTTTTATTAATAGAAATATTGGATTGAGATGCTATTCTGGTATTTGTTCTTAATCCATTGTTTGAAAAACGTGAGTTATTACTGAACAAAGCCATAAGGTATTTGTTCTTCATCCGTTGTTTTCAAAGTGGCATAGATCCTACCCTTGGGAATGATTTACTCTAAACATCAAAATAATTTGTTCTTCATGTTCACTTTCATATGGAGACTTATGTAGAAAAATTGTAAAGGATGCTGGAGAATGAATATCTCATGAAGAGCATGGAGAACTGGCTTCATATGAAGTGGCGACTCTACAAATTTCAGATGATACGAGGGTTACTATTGATGAACACTTCAATGATTTCACTAAGTTGTTGACAGATCTGTTAAATTTGGGTGAAATGGTTGGAGATGAAGACAAGACGCTTATTTTATTGAATACGCTTCTGGATGAGTAAGAAAACTTCACTATGACATTCATTTATGGGAATGAGGTCATGAATTATGATGAAGTGACTACGACACTATTAAATTACAAGTTTCGTCTAAGGGACAAGGAGTCTGTAAATATGGAATCAGCCGAGACACTTACACTCCAACGTGGTAGATCTGAGAAAAAGAGTTTGACAAAAAAAGGTGACAACAATGACACTTTTCAAAAGCATGACAAGTCTTGGGAAAAATCAGCGTGTTTACTGTTTAGAGACTGGTTATTGAAAAAAGATTGTCTGAAGCTTAAGGAAAATGGAAAGGAAGTTGCATCCGAGGCAAAAACCAATTTCATTGTGGAAGGACGTGAAGAGACAAATTCAGATGTATCGTTATCTGCAGTTCTCACAGTTTGTTTACTCATGATTCATATTAGATTATGGACATAGATGTTATCTATCGCATTTGTCCCTATCGAGGGCGGTTCTGTACGTTCAAGGAGCTGGATAGCGGTGCGGTCACTATGAACAACGATTAAACTTATTGTACTTTTAGTGTAGAGAGTATATTTATCATGATATATGATGGTACTGTGAGATAGCTGACTGATATTAAACATATTCCATATATCAAAAAGAATTTGTTGTCAGTTGGGGCTTTAAAGTTCAATGGCTACAACGTAGTTATGGAGGCAAGAGTTTTGAGGATATGTCATGAAACAATGATTTTTATGAAGGAAGTTCGTCATCACAATCTTTATTATCTTCAAGGTAGTATAGTAATTGGAATGACTGTTGTTGCTTATAATTTTTTTGATGTCACTATGTTGTGGCATATGCGGTTTACTCATACTGGAGAGGCTTTACTTCAGGATTTGGTGAGTAAAATATTGATTGAATGAGCAAACACATGCAAGCTTGATTTGTGTGGACATTGTGTATTTGACAAGACACGAGTATCTTTTGGAACCGTCTTTCACATTACAAAATTTATTTTTGAGTATGTTTACACAGATGTTTGGGGCTCGATTAAGACGTCATTCAACTGGCGAGATAAGAAAAAGATCAGTCGCACACCATGAAACGCAAAAGCTAAGTGTTGGAAATTTTCATAATTTGGAATAGGTGGATTGAGACTCAGACTGATAAAAAGTTCAGGTGTATCAGATCAGAATATGGGGGTGAATACACTTCAGATGCGTTTTTGTAAGAGCGCTAGAAAGTTGAGATAGAGCATCACTTCACTGTTTAAGAGACACCATGGCAGAATGAGGCGTCAGATAGGATGAATCGGATTTTGGTGGAGAAAGTTCGGTGTATGTCATCTTATACTGGGTTGGATAGAATCTATTGGGAGGAGAGTATAGAATATGTCAGTCATTTTGTGAATCGTCGGCCTTCTGCAACTATTGGGACGAATACCCAAAATGAGATGTGGTTAGGGCATCTTTGTAAAAATTATAAGCACATGAGTGTTTGAGTGTCTAGCTTACTACCAAGTGCATATTGATAAAATGGAATCACGAGCAAAGAAGATGATTTTCATTTGCTTCAGGCGTGGAGTTAAGAGCTTCAACATGTATGATTAGTTAGAAAGGAAGATTGTCATTAGCAAATATGTTACATTCGACTCAAAGCAAGTGTGTAGTTCTATTGAGACTATAGATATGCAGCAAATGTTAGAGTTTGATGCAACTTCTTTTGTTCAACAGAGTTCGTCCACTTCAACTCAAATATCTGATTTAGTTGCAGCTCAGGAGATATCTGTTGATAGTGCTCAGGACGATGCAAAAGAACATGATGATGAGATTCCTGCTCAAGAATCTATTTCTATGAGTAGGACCAGACGTCAAAATGTCCCAATGCCAGCTTGGTTGAGAGTTTATATTACATTTGCACTTTTAACTACAAAGATATAAATTCCTTGTCACTACAAAGAGGCGACAAGAGTCCAAACTGTGATCTTTGGATCTTTGGAGAGCGGCAATGGATGAAGAGATGAAGTCTATTCGGAAGAATGATACTTGGAAGTTGGTGAAGTTTTTCCAGGGAGGAAAGGAGAGCGGCAATGGATGAAGAGATGAAGTCTATTCAAAAGAATGATACTTGGAAGGTGAAGTTTTTCCAGGGAGGAATGTCATTGAGTGCAAATGGGTGCATGCAAAGAAGGAAGGATCTCATGAAGTTGATGTGCGATACAAAACAAGATTAGTGGCAAAAGATTTTTGCGCAACGACAAGAGATTGATTATGATGATTGGTTCTCCCCAATGGTAAAATATCCCTCATATTGGTTCTTTTAACACTTGTAGTATGGTATAGTCTGATCTAGGAACAGCTCGATGCAAAGAATGCATTTCCACACGGAGAATTGAAAGAGAAGATCTACATGTTGCAGTTGCTTGGATATGGGGCATTAAAAGTCATGGTTTGCAAACTGAACAAGTCTTTGTATGTATTGAAACAGTTAGCCAGTTACCACGATAGTGACAAAAATTTTGATTAGTTTAGAAGGGAAACAGATACATGAGGAGTCAGTATGATCATTGTGCATATTTCAAGAAGTTGGCAACGGTGAGTTCATTTATTTGCTTCTATATGGTGATTTCATCTACCAGTCAGGTTGAGGTTGATAGGATGAAGAATCAACAGTCCAAACATTTTGAAATGAAGGAGTTTAGTAAAGCTTGCAGAATTCTTGATATAAAAATTTTTAATGAAAAAGCTGCTGGAAAGGTTTGACTTTCGCAAAAATTTTATGTTCGGAAAGTATTGAAGAAAATTTGGGTTGACTAGAGCAAATCACTGAGTCTACTCATTGTATCTCATTTTTAGTTGAGTTCATACTAGTGTTTTAAGTTGTTCAGAAAAAGAAAGATATGTGATCGATTTTTTATGTTAGTGCAGTGGGTCGTCTGATGTATGTCATGGTTTGTGCTAGACTAGATATTGCACAAGAAGTTAGTGTTGTGAGTAGGTTCATGCATGATCCAGAAAGGAGTCGTTTGCGGACTGTGAAGAGTATTCTGAGGTATATGAAGGTTACAATTGATGTTAGCTCGGTGTTTGGGAGTCGGCATCCAGTGCAAATTTGTGTTAGGCTACACTGACTCAGATATGAGTAGAAGAAGATCTACGACGGGCTATTTATTCACATTGGTTGAAGGTCCAGTAAGTAGGAGGTCGTTTCTTCAGCTTATTGTTGTTTTAGCTACTACGGAGGCTGGGTACATGATAGTCATGGAGGCGATAAATGAAGCAATATGGATGCATGACATATTGAATGACTTGGGAGTTAATCAAGTGTCTCTGATGGTGTTATATAATAGTCAAAGTGCGATATTCTTAGTCACAAATCCAATTCATAATGTTCGTACCAAGCACATTGATTTGAGATATCACTTTGTTCGGGACTTGATTGAAGAAGACAAGATTCTTTTAAAGAATCTCAATTCCATTTTCAATGGATGAATATGATACAATAAGAGAGAATTTGGGACAATTTGCTTTTTTAGAAAGATGATGAAATACATTATCTTCAGCTACGTTATCCAAATTTATTTATTGTTGGGAGTAGTTTGTTATTGTTTCATTTGAAGGCTGGAGTACTGGGTAAATTTCTAATCACGAATAAACAGCTCTTTCAGATCTAGTGTATGTTGCCATGAAGTTTAATTAATACTATCAACATTAATCTTTTTTGTCACTTCGTGATGTTTGCTTGACATGAAGGCACTAAATAAGCTAAATGGTGAGAAGTATAACTTGGATGTCATAGGGCATGCAATTTTTTTGGACTTGTCAACTGTCAAGGTAAAACTTATTACTAGACATGTTACAATCCGGCCCGGAAATTTAAAGTTATCAAGACAGGAATATACAATCGAAGGGTAAAAACGTACAATTCTAGCATTTTAAATAATCCAAAACCTTATGCAAACAGTTAAGAGCTATTAAATATAAACCTCTAATTCACATTTAATACGTCTATATAAAAATCAAGTTTTGTATAACAATTTTACTAGAAATTTTTATAGTTTCAGATCTTCCTCTTCTCATGTACACGAATGTCCTTCTGTTAGCCATTCAGTTTAATGAATTTTTCTTTTTTTTGTAATGATTATAAATTTACAGGTTATATAACATTTTAGTAAATAGTTATAGTTCAATAGTATACTAATTTTATGCATATATTTTAACACGCGTGCATTTTAAAATTGAATAAACTTTAATATTTCATTTTATTAAAATTTTTAAATATTTATGTTTCATTTAAGAAGTCATTCTAAGAGCACCTTCTAAAATACTGTTCTGAGATGGTACACCCATTTTCATTTTCTTTTTCAAACCTTTATGTATAGTTTTTCATATTATACCATTCTAATTTTTAATATTATTATTACTCCAAAATAATCTATTAATTCTTTTAAGGTTAGCATTTTATTTTATTTGTTTGCCCGTTATACGTAATTTTTTTTTTGAAAAAATAAATGAATAAAAGTGCTAAATGTTAGAAAATAAATAAAATAGAAACAAATAAAAAAAAAATAATAATAATAAATCAAAATTACTCCAAATGGCTCCTAAAATTTTTGATATTTCTTGAAAACTGATTTTCAATTCTCTAATTATTGTGCAGTGATTGATATTTTATGCTATGATTCTCTTTTTAGTGTGAGAACATGCTTATCATTTGGGCATTTACAGACATACCATTCAAATACCCAACTCTTATGTATTTACATATGTAACAACTAAGCTCTAAGTTTTACATTTATATCGCACAAATCTTTCACATCACATCCAAATTACCTCTATTTTAACTTTAAAAAACGTGAAATCCACCATTTCATTCATAAACAAGCCATCATACATATATGTAAAAATTGAAGTTTAGGTGTTAGATATGTAATTAGATAAGAATCGAGCGCTATGCATGTAAATCTTCCATATTATTTTTATTTGATTTTAATTTAATCTCTAAGAACCTCTATTTTCTTTGGTTTTGCCTAAACCTTCTTGTCAGGTTCCAATCCCCACAGACCAGCTCTATGCCATCAATGATTCCCTATCAGCAGAAGCTGCTGCCGAAGACTATGAAACTCGCCTAAAACATCTAATAAACAAGGGAGTAGTGCTGCTATCTCAACCCAAAGGGTTTCCAAAGTTTGATCTTTTGTTGTTGGGAATGGGTCCTGATGGTCATATAGCTTCCCTCTTCCCTGGACACAGTCTTCTCAGTGAGAACGAGCGTTGGGTTGCTTTCATTAACGACTCCCCGAAGCCACCACCTGAGAGAATAACTTTCACTTTTCCTGTCATTAATTCATCTGCTAATGTCGCGCTCGTCGTTGCAGGATCAGGTAAAGCTGATGTGGTGCATCAGGTTTTTGGCAGCACAAACTCTTCTTCTGGGTTGTTGCCGGTTCAATTGGTTAAGCCGGATGATGGAGCGTTAACTTGGTTTACTGATAAAGCTGCGGCTTCTAAGCTGTAAGATAAGGTGAGAATTGTTAGTCTTGTTCTGCTATTTTCTTGTTGTCGCAGTGTAACTTTATGAGGGATTTTCTGTTTGATGTGCTTGCTAGTTTCCCGAGATTTAGCAATTTCATCTTGCTTATTGTATGTAGATGAAGTACGCTTATGATATTTGCACTGAGTGACATATTTTTGGAACTACTATTCATAATCCACTTTTTTTTAATTATTGCTTGTGTTAATTACTTGAAATTAGGGGTGTGAGTGCAAATTGGCTTGAGCTCAACTCGTTAATGAGCTCATGAGTTGAGCTTATCGAGCCGTCTATAGGTTGTTTTAGATTAGATTAATGTTCTCATTGTTTTAGTTAGCTTTCATATTATTCACCCAAATGAATCTTTGGTGCCCTCTAAATAGGTCCTTTATTTATCTAGAATCAAATTATCATAATTGCAATATCAATAAAAATTGATAACTTGGGATCTTTTATTGGTAATTTAAAAATTGGTGGCAAGCAGCACTTTTTTTTATTTTATTTCACAAAACAGTATCAAAAGTAGGTAATTTGGTAAAGAAATGTTTTTTTTTAGTTGAATCGTGCATTTGTAAATATGAAACTATATTTACTTGTGACTCCCCTTGAAATTTGAAATTTTCATTAATAGGTTGCAAAATAAACATGAAGAAATAAAAATATTGAGAAACATGCGTTAAACTGTAATTTCTTCAAATATGCTGATTATAATTTCTGCCACTGAACCGACTATAACTTTAAAAAACGCCAATATTTAACAACAGTAGTGAAAAAGGTAGAACTTTTAGCTCAGAATATCCCTCTACCCAAATTTAACAATAACAGATTTTTCTTGGCCATGGATTTTGCTTTCCAGATCGATGCAATACAATATTGATTTTACTTGCGCTAATCTCAAAACAAGATCCAATGGCCAAGAACAAATCTTTACCAAATTTGAATCAGGAATATTCAAAGCCCTAAAAATAAAGAAGAGACTGGACTGTTCTTATTGAATGAAGGCAAACACACACATGGATCTCTTCAATCTACTTGCTTTCTTTATCTTCTTCTTCTTCCTCGAACGCAGAAGCTGGATACGACCTTCCGATTCCCACATTACTCTTAAAATATATTCTCTTCCCATCTTCGCTGCGGCTCATCTCAACAAGCGGCACCCATATCAACATCTGCTTGCTCTTCACGCCGCTCATTTTCTTCATCTTCCCTTTCTCGATATAAGCGGTGACTTCCTGTGCATAGCTCACCCTAGTATTAGTATTCTTGAAGAAATGTTCGTAAGGAGCTTTCTGTTTCATCCACACGAACCCGGTAGCCCTAACCCGGCCGCACTCTTCGAGGTTTTTGAGAGGCATCACCCCCCTAGGAAACCCTAGTTCCTCCAGCAGAGCCATGGAGTTTTCGTAGCAGGCTTCGGCTCCTCGGACGATCTCGGCGCCCTCTCGCTCCTTCAATCTGCTTGTTTCTGCAACCGTTCCCATCTTCTTCTTTTTCCAGAGGAGTGGTTTTAGAATGATCTGCTTGCTCTTAGGCTTTTTATGAAGAAGGGAAGGAGGGGGTTTGGTGGCGGGGAGATGAACTAATTTGTGTGGAGATTAGTGGTTTGACTGAAAATTAGTGATTTAAATAATGTGGTTTGGTGCGGATATGATGGAGGGAGTGGAAATAGGACTGTTGTGGGTAGGTGTGTAAATTCAAAATCTTGGTTTTTAGTTGTTAACCAAAATATAAAGTGGCTCAACTAGTTTAGTTTACTTTTAGTTTTATTTTATTTTATTTTAATTGGGAGAGTTACATTAATACAACTCAATTCTTATGTATTTACATATCTACCACTTAAAACTTCAAATTTTACTTATAAGCCAAGTTACCTATGCATGAAGTGTATTTCAGTTTTTAACAATTATAATATGTGTATTCTTCATGTGTTATGAAAGATTTGGGTGGAATGACTGTAAAAAGTGAAGTTTGTCATGAATGTTAGATATATTAATAGATAGGAATTGGGTGGTATTTATGTAAATGATCCTTTTTATTATAAACTTTTAATTTAATTATATCTATTTGGTGCTTTTCTTTATTTTTATTTTAAGAGTATTATTTTGCATTTTATATTTTATTTGTGATCATGCACCATATCCTTTGTTCTTGATGCTAATTTTAATAATAAATGGTAACTAAAAAAAATTATAATGGATATGAAAATAAGTGAAATAGAATATAGGAATAAGGCTGCATTTCATGCGTCAAACCTTTTTGGTTGATTGAATCATATTTTATAACTATAAATATTAATTTTTTAAGGGTTAAATATATAAATACATAAGAATTATGCTGTCTCTATGTAAATTTCCCATGTATGGGTCATTTACTTAACCCCAAAAACATTCAACGTATGGGTAAACAGACCCCAGCCAGTTATATTCAAAGTCCACCATTCTATATTATATTAGCCATTTTCAAGCAAAAAATTATTGGAGCTTTATTAAAGAGTGTTGTATGTAGGGCTGTCAAGCTCGTTGTTCGCGAACAGTTCGTGTTCGGTTCGTCAATGAGTTCGTGTTCGATTCGTTCGATAAGTAAACGAGACAAACGCGAACAATTTTTTTTCGTTCGGTTAGTTAAACGAACCAAACACGAACAGTGATGCGTTCGTTCGTGTTCGAATCGTTATTGTTTGAAATATAAAATAATATAAAATAATTATATATAAAAAATTTATTATATTTTAAAACATTAAATTTTATGAATTATAATATATAATAAAATAATAATAATAATATATTAATATACTATAGTAGTAATATACTAATATAGATATTGAATATTTATATAATATAAGTTATATAATTAATATATAATATTATTTTTATATATTAATATTAGGGATGTCAAACTGGCTCGTCGTTCGCGAACAGCTCGTGTTCGGTTCGTGTTCGGCTCGTTCGTTAAGAAACAAACACGAGCTTATTTCAAACAAACTAAATTTTAAACGAATCAAACACGAACACAAACTTTGTTCGTTCGTGTTCGGTTCGTTTACACCCCCCTAGTTGTATGTATTTTTTTTTATTTGGTTTATTTATTAATTTCTTTCTTCCTTATAAGAAGTGAAAATAGTTAAATATTTTGATCAAATTTAATTGATAGGAATTTTAAATATTTTTAATTTGATTGAAGATGAGTGCAAGTATACTTTTGATTAATTATCATATATTGATTTAAAGACCCACCAAACATTACTTCTTTAAGAATATTCTAATAACCTTTGGAGCATTTACATACATACCACCCAATTCTTATGTATTTAGAAATCTACTCTTTGTTATACATTTTAAATTGGATTTCATGTGTATCAAATTTTCCTTGCCCGCATTATTGTGGGAAAAAGTTATATTATATTTATATTCACACACACACACACACACACACACACACACACACACACACACACACACACACACACACACACACACACACACACACACACACACACACACACACACACACACACACAAACTTCCTTCCATTGATTGAAATCTCTTCAATTAGGCTTTAGATATTCAACATAGGAGGGAGGGCGATATATTTTGATAAACTTTTCAATGAAGTTTATGAAAATATGATCGATTCTAGCAATCTTAATATAATAAATAATAATAATTTTTTAGAAGATTAATATATATTTTGGTCCCCATTTTTAAGATTTGAAAGTTTCTTGACTTACTAAACTTGATGTTTCTTGACTTACTAAACTTCCTTCCATTAGCAATTTTAATTTTAATCTCAATTGAAGTGTGGAATTATTTAGAAGATTTGAAAGTTTCTTGACATACTAAACTCTTTAATATTATTTTAAAAATTTAAAAAGATGTCTAAGGAGTGGAGGAAGAATATTTTGGTCCCCATTTTTAAGAATAAACGGGATGCACAAAAATGCACAAATTATAGAGTAATTAAGTTAATGCCTCATATATTAAAATTATGGGAGGGAGTAATTGAACATAGGTTAAGATGTGTTAAGAAGATTTCTCATAATCAGTTTGGAGTTATATCGAACAATTCTACTTTGGAAGCTATACATCTATTGAGATGTTTGATGGAAAAGTACAGAGAGAGTAAGGAGGATCTAAATATGATTTTTATTAATTTAGAAAAAAACTTAAGATAAGGTTCCAAGAGAAGCTCTTCAGAGAGTTCTAGAAAAAAAAAAGATGATAAGACTTATATTCAAGTTATTAAAAATTTATATGTTAGAGTTGTTACAAGAGAAGCTCTTCAGAGAGTTCTAGAAAAAAAAAAGATGATAAGACTTATATTCAAGTTATTAAAAATCTATATGTTAGAGTTGTTACATGTGCTCGAACAGAAGGAGGATTGACCAAGTATTTTCCTATTTCAGTTGCAATAAATCAAGGTTCAACTCTAAGCCCATATTTTTTTTGCTTTAGTTATGGATGCTCTTTCTGGACATTTGCATGAGGATGTACCTTGGTGTATGTTTTTTGATGATGATATCATTTTTGTGGATATGACTAGAGAAAGAGTTTAGGAAAAACTTAAATTCTGAACGTCTACATTAGAGTCTAAAGGTCTTCATTTGAGTAGATCTAAAATTGAATACATGGAATGTGATTTTAGTAGTAGTAGAGCTATTGACACAGTTGTAATTAGTGGGTAATCAAATCATTAAAAGGTGTGAACATTTTAGATATCTAGGATCTATTGTTCAAAGTGGCAATGGTATAGATGAGGGTGTTATTAGTAGAACTCAAGTTGGTTGGTAGAAGTGGAGGAATGCATCCGGCCTATTGCGCGATAGAAAAGTACCGCTTGGACTTAAAAAGAAAAATTTTATAAGATAGTGGTGAGACGTGCAATACTCTATGACGCAAATTGTTGACCTTTAAAAGAGAAGCATAAAACAAATTAAGTGTTGTTGAAATGAGAATGCTTAGGTTGATGAGTTGTATGACGCTTAGGACAAAATGCAAAATGCATATATTTGTGATAGGTTGGTGTAGCTTCAATAACAGACAAGATTAGAGAGAATCGTCTTAGATGTTTGGTCACATTAAATGTCAATTATCTATGATCCCGTCAAGAGAATAGATATTTTGAATTAGAATTTTGTTAAAGAAAGATAGATGAAGGCCTAAAAAGTCTTGGGCATATTGTATTGTATAAAAAACGATCTTAATTTATTAGAATTAAATGAAAATATGACACTCAGTAGGACACAAAGAAGGAAAATGATTCATGTAGCCGACCCCATTTAGTAGGATAAAAACTTGTTGTATGTGAAATTTTGGTTCTTCATGGTTAACAAAACAGCCTCTCTCTCTCTCTCACTCACACACACACACACTTTCATCCTCATCTTTTTTCTTCGTCTGCATCAGATCTGCCTAAAGCTTCCCAGCCCACATGAAGGGGCTAGTAAGTACGTTATTTTATGTTTTTCCTCCACTACTTATTTTACATTTTTATTTTTTAAACAAAAAATGCTCTTTCTCGTTTGTATAGACTTTCTCATATCAAAGATTTCTAATTTCATAATTGCATCTCAAAACTTTCGTCCCTGGTTATTTCTCTGCTTTCAATTCTTCTACCGTTCTTACTTCAACTATTTAAAAATGATGATTCAATCTATCTTTCGACCTGTTGTAGAAACATATTGAATTATCATTTCTAAATGAATGACAACTACCCAATGACGAAAATTTTGAAGTGTCATAATAGAATTAGACTGCTATAATAGGAGAAAGTCTAAGCAAGTGAGAATGATATCATATTTCGTACAGAAAATAGCATAAAAATATGCTAGAAGAAAAAATATTTTTTAAAAAAACGTACTTATTAACCCCTCTATGTGGCCATGGGAGCTACAGGCAGAACTGGTGGAGCTGAGGAGAAAAGAGAAGGAAGTTGAATTCGAGGTCAAATAATTGGAGGGAGGGAGGGAGGGAGGGAGGGAGGGAAATTTTCTACATAATGATTGACTTTGCAGATGGTCCAACATAGTTGTATGATTCTTTTATGTTAGGGTTGTAGCGGACTGATCATCTATTCGAAGAATATGCATGGATTCGCAAGAGAGAAATGATCGGCCTGTAATGGCGGCTCGACATATTCTTTCCATAGATGAGCACTGCATTGCAATCTTAATATAAAAGTATCATGCAAACTGTGTTGGACTATCTGCCAAGTTATCATTATGTAAAAGGAATGGTAGCTCATGTCGGCTTGTGCAGTTGTGTTGCCCTGTAAGTTTCGTGATAATGGTTAAGAGGTGCAGGATAAATTGGTTATGAAATTGATTTGTTTTATTGATTGTCATTATCAAAATGTCTCCTACGAAAGACTTCATCATCCGACGGAATACACCTCATATTGGTGACAAAAATGGGAAATCCTGATACTATCTGTAAATTCCATAAAGTAACGGTCCATTCTTAGGGCGGAAAGCTCTTTGAAAAATAAAAAAAAATTTACACATGAATTACCTCATAAATTCTGATTGCTTGTAAAGTGTCTCTACGTGCTTATAAAATATATCTAGCCCAAGGAACATATCCATGCACTGGACCGAGAATCTGGTCCAAAGTTGAATCTCTTGGTCATTCTCGTGTATTTTTTCTGAAGTTAGCGACGACTCAGAAGCCTGGACTATACTGTCAGTTCAATGGAATCCAGGTCCATTCAATATCCAGGTCCATATCTCACAAATTTCATGACTAATCCGATTTACCTTTGACATTGATGTTTCTCCCATGCTCTATGCGGAGAAACTGGAATCCTGCCCGTCTTCCCTCCCTCTGCGACATCCAGTCGATTCAAGTCTTCGGAGAGAGCAAAATTGAGCTCTCATTCCTTTAATCAAGATAATTTGAAGGTCCCATGCATCTTATGGAAGGCCGGATTAGAAAATTTCTTCCGACTGCAGTGTCTCTTGACACTGATCAACACATCCTGTAGACAACTGGGCAAACATAGACACTGATGTTGTCCGCTCAAACGGGGATGAAATCGGGATGTTGTCAAACTTTATGGCGATCCTATTCTTGCAAAAATGATTTAAAACTTGGATTATTTGGACTTTAAAATGACATAAAAACATAGATTATAACAGAATAATCATTTTGATTATAAATCAATTCACTTCAAAAGAATGGTCGGGTGCACCTAGGATTTATATAGGGTTTATGAAAATATGAATGACTCTCAATTAATGTGATTAGATTTCTCTTTGACCTCAAATTTATTCGTATCTGAGAATGATCATTTGAAAATGTATATTCAAGTGCAAATGAATCTTTATGTGATATATTTAAATACTTAAATTGATACTCCTTTATTTATAGGGGCCTATAGTTATTGTGAAGCGACGATTATACTCTGACCCTTTTTAAGTCTGTTCCATAATCAGTTTCATGTCATTCAATTGATGGATATCTGACAAATCGTTTTCTTGGTGGTCGGCCTCCATAAGAGCATCCTTCGAGTCGGCCAGCGTCTGGGTCGGTGGACCTTTAGTCGACCACTAGATATGTCTCTAATCGATCGACTACCGTTATTTTGTTGTCCTCCAATCACCTTTATTCTCGTGAGGTCTTTCTGGCAATGCATGCTAAGCTCTGAGCTATTTGATCCACTAAGGATTCAGCCAATGTTGGAATTTGAAGTTTTCACTAATTTAACAAAAATATTATCTATATAAATTTCTACCATAGTAAACATTTAAAATGAAAAATTTGTTATATGTTTAATGCGCCTAACCACTCGAGTACCCTCCTATTTATAAATGATAGGTAAAAAAATAAATTACAATATTATCCTTACATTTAAAGAGTGGTACTTGATATTTTAGTATTTTATATTGATGCGTTCGACTAAAAAGTACTCCCTCAAAATAGTTCATTGGTGTGTACATAAATTTATCTAATTTTTTCCCCTAATATATTACACTTCCCACTACACTTATTAATTCAAAATCTAATTAAAGTTTCTATTTATGAGGGCAAAAATATATTATTATTATTATTATTTATTATTATTATTATTATTATTTTTGGATGGAGTGGAGCCACTCCTCCAATTGAGAAATTTCATTTTATTTTCAACTAATATATTGCGTGTTCAAGACTCCGAACACATATGCATTTGATATAACTATCTCATTTTCTTAATGATTTTATGTATATATGATGACCTATATATATATACACACCTCAACCTAAATCCGACCACTAATTAATAGAACTTTATGAGTGAATAAAATCATTAATCGCATATTTATGCTTTTAAATTATGAAATATTAATTCCATTCAAACTCTTGACTTGAGCCTTATTTATTGCCATTGCTAAGCCCTTTTTCTTATAAGGAATATTTACATACATACCAACCACAATTATGCATATAAATATATATTTCACTTTTTTAAAAAATTAAAATGATAGTATTTTTAAAATTTGAGAGGTATAAATGTAACAAAATAAGATTTATTTTTTTAGAAATGTAAATAGTTATGTCCTTAAATGCCCCTTCTAATTATATATATATATATAAACTCAACCGACATACAGATGTATTCATTCGCATGCAATGTACCAAAGAATTAAAAAGAAAAAAAGATGAAGAGATTAAATGTAATTATTCTCTCATTAATTAAATTATAATAAATGATGAAAGAGAGCTCCATTTAAGAGATTATTATACTATTTTTGATAATTTACCAACTTTAAAAACTATTTAATTCCAGTTTTTTTCTTAAATAATATATCTTAAAATTTTCATCTCTCAATTAAATTCCTATGTTTGATATATAATATTTTATTGACAATTTACTTAAAAGCCTTTCAATTCGTTTGTATTTATGTATCTGGCTCCTAAATTTCAATTTTTATATATATGAAATATTATGTTTGTATGAAAAAAATATATTCCGTTTTTTAGAAATTATATAATCGGTTGTCAATTGATGACATCTGTCAATCAATGAAAGCTGTGAGGTAACAACCTTTTGTCTGATGCTTATTCATTTCAAATTATCAACATGGACATTCGTTGGCTATATAGTCTGCGGATCTCCTTTGGACATCTGTCAATCAATGAAAGCTGTGAGGTAACAATCTTTTGTCTGATGCTTATTCATTTCAAATAATCAACATGGACATTCGTTGGTTATATAGTCTGCGGATCTCCTTTGGATCATCCTTATTATAAGAGAGATTTACTCAGAAAAGAGAATTCTATGATAATAGACAAATTCATGACTTCTGAAAAACAAAAACAATGAATCAATCTAATCAGATTTTGTTGGTGTATAAAAATAAAACTTTGGCTTGGGTGCTAACATATATATCATCTAAAACGTATAAATTTACAAATCAATCATGTAATGTTTACATGTTAACCTCGTAAAACTTTTACCCATCTAAGATTTACAGTCTCACATTGCATCTCTCTTTTTCAGCTTCCACCCTGTCTAAAATTTGTGAGATGGATAAATTTTGGATTGTTAACATGTAAATAGTAGAGTTTAGGGGTTTGATATGTAAATATATATGTTTTAGATCATAGCTGAAATCAAAACTGAAATCAGGTTCAAGTTGGGTCAATTGACACGAGACTGACCCGTTAAATGACCTATCTTCGTTACCAAAAGTCATATCATTCTTTATCTTGTATTCTGTAAACGGATATTGGATTTTAAAGTATGTCACATGACATATTGGCTCCAGCTACCTTTCTTGAGAGAGAGAGAGAGATAGAGAGAGAGAGTCGTCGTCTTCTACCTTGTCAACACTCCACATGGTGCAACACGCGTGCAGGCCCGATCGACCAAATCCCTACCATCGCCGGCGGTAGGAGAGCGCTGGTGAGGGACTGAGGTGGAGGGGACGGTTGCGTGAAGTCGATGGTGGTTTGTGGCTGGTCGGAGCGTTTGACTGGCTGCGTTGGGGGGAGCTGGGGAACTGCGGCGGTGGGAGGGAGCCGGTGGCATGTCGGAGTGGCTGTGGCAGTGAACTTTGACAGTGACGGCGATGGCCGGAATCGCCCTCGCCGCCACATTCGTGGTATCGTCGCGGAGGTAAAGAAATCGGGAAAAAGAAATCCCGGAATTGAGGGATTCTTTTTTCCTTTCGGCAGAGTGGGGACCGGGGGGACGGGGGGCGGGGTAGATTATAGATGAAAGCTCTGAGAAGATCTAGCACATCCTCTTCCTCAAATCCACCAACCTCATCATCTCCCACGTCGTCGTGGATCCATTTGCGATCGCTTCTTATCGTTGCCTCCTCTCCTGTTCCCGATCGGTGAGTTCCCCTTCTCTCAATCCATTGTCCTGTTTCGCTTACTCTGTGACTTTTTTTTCTTTTAAAGAGAAGGTACTATTTGTTAGATTTGTCCCAAATTTTTCTTATTTTTTGTTCGGTACTTTTCTCCAGCTCTCCATTTGGCGATCATGATATGGCGAATCGGAAAAGACTGAATCGCTGACTAATCCTCTTCGCTTCTGTCAATCTTGTTGTTCTTTTTCGATTATTTCTATTGTACAGATCTAAGCCGTCTTTATGATGCTTTCGAGTTGATACAGTTACGAGTGTCAGTGTTCTCATCTTTAGATTCCGCTTTAAGCTATGCAGCTGAGCTCTTCGCCTGCTATATGGCCTTTTATGTAGAACCCTTGACTTGGTTTTGGAGTGTGTTGTTCTGTCGTGTTCTTTATTTTTAACATTGTTAGCGTCTCATCCCACACGAGCGTAGACTGGGTTGCCATGAATTATCACAAAAATGACATATGTAGCTTTACTGAACGCTCTCATGGCGCCGTGCCTTGCTTTATTTTGGACTGCTGAAATCGTCCTTTCACTACCCGGCAAAATAATTCTTCAGTTGGGTTGCAGTTACTTTCTCTCCAATCCTCTCATTCGATGCGAGGAAAAATCAAAGCCTATGGTTAAAAGTTCACAATACATGGAGCAAAATCTGTGCCAATTCGCTTTTCCCATGTAATTCTGATTTTTATCAGCCTGGTATAATTTTTTTATGTAATCTTTTCTTCGTTTTCCTTTCTTTTTGATCTCATCACATGTGCTTCTTGTACTTTTAAAGGCTAGACCCCTTTGAATCCATCTTTACATTCCTATCACATTATTTTACACTTTCATAGGTAGGTTCTTGTTGCTCATAGGTTTTAGCATATTGATCTCTATGGTAAATAGCTTTGACACAATATTGGAATCCTATCATTTTTATTCTAAATTTAGCTGAATTCAATTTCTGTCTCTATGTAGTTTATTGCGTGAACCCTATTGCACTTGTTTTCTTATGCTATTGTCTTATAAGATTGTTGTTTTTCTATCAGAGGCAGCCTTAAATCACCATGGTCTCGGAGGAAAAGAAAAAGAGTTCTTTCTCATCGTTATTGGAGCAGCCTCTTTACACCTGAAGGGAAACTTCGAGACGGCGGCTACAAATTCCTTAAGAAAGTCAGAAGTGGGGTGAGTACTTTTGGTTCTATGGCTATTTTTTGAATAATTTGTCCTGTTAATTCTGTTTACTTTGATTTCAGCTTCATTTTGAGCCAATATTTATCCTTTTTGGTTTAGGGAATTGATCCAAGCATCAGATCTGAAGTTTGGCCTTTCCTCCTTGGAGTGTATGTATTTCAAACTTTCACTCAGACTACAGTATTTTTTCAGGATTCTGCACCTCTGATTTTACTTTAATGGATATCTTGATAAGACCAACTTGAACATGATTTATTTTGAATTTTCATAGTTTTTTTTTTCTAAAAGCCGCCATCTGAAATCTGGTTCTGTTGGTCCAAATCTTGAGTGCTTAAGTCATTAAATTTAAGATGAATGTCAATGTGTCTTTTCTTAGTTGAATATGTTAACCGTTAATCGATTTGCTATCTTATCTTTCAAATCTACAACTACTATGCTTTATGAGGTATACTAACTTGAGCCTCTATCACATAAAATCTCTGTTCATGTTATAATGGGTTGAATCTCTGGATACTTTATGCAAAATTCTGTATTTGTTTCAGCATGATGCAAAGTTAGATTATTTATGTTAATATATCAATTGAATCAGAGGATCGGTTCTCGATATTTATTTGCATAACTGTTTAGGCAAATTGTTTATTCTTCAAATAGGCATAAGCTATTTACTGTTTAGCCATGTTAATAAGAGTCGGTGAATGACAATGAGGAACTCCTTGGTATGAGATGGCATAGAACTTATTAATTGAAAATAATAGAAAAAAGATGGTTGGATGTGATAATTAAACCCTCCGCCTTGCTTCCCCAACATTTCAAATTAAAATTGGCCAAAGTTATTATTATTATTTTTTATTTTTAGAGGACAAATTTTAAAATGGAATCGATCAATTAATTAAATTAGGTTGAAAACCACTATTAAAAAAAATTATATAGGAGACTACACACCATTAATAGGGTCGTTTTAATTAAAAAAAAATAATCAAACAGGGCATTTAGTATTAAAATAATTTTTTATTCACACCATTAATAGGGTCGTTTTAATTAAAAAAAAAATAATCAAACACCTTTAGTAAGGGCATTTAGTATTAAAATAATTTTTTATCTTCATATTTAAATTTTTAAATTTAAGTAAACTAAAAAATGAATACTAATATGAAAGTAATTTTTTTTTGTTAGTATGGGATAATTTTTGTTAAGCTCATATCAAATAATTTCTGAATAAGCTCATTTTCATAATTTGGCCAAAATTAATTTAAAATTTAAATAAATAAAAATACAATATGTGAGAGAATTAGTAAATTTATGAGTGAATCATGTTAGAAAAATATGACATTTAAATTATGTTTTAAGCTTTAATTGAGCAGAGCATATAGTGAGCCGTAATCAACGTAGTTACATATTATGTCATTCTTTTTTTGGCTCTCACTCAAGCTAAATTTTTCCATATATGTTAAATTTTTTTCTTAAATCCCAAATAATTTCTTATTAGTTTGTTTATACTAATTGAGTAGCTGAATCAGTTAATAGAGAAGCTCCAAATTTGAATTTGAGCATGTTGAATTATATTAAAAAATATTAATTTAATATAAAAGTTAATAATTACACAAGCATGCAGTTACAGGAAAAACTCAAATCGAGCAAAAGCCAAAAAAGAATTAACTTATTATGTAGCTAAGCTAACTCTATCTAGCTCATTATATATTTTGCTTAATTTATTCTAAAAGATAATTTAAATGTCTTATGTGCCTGCATAATTCACTCTTAAATTTTTATTATTTCTCTCACTCATTATATTTTTATTTTATTTAAATTTTAATTTAATATTGGCCATATTATGAGAAGGGTTTATTTAGAAATTCGTAGATAGGAGCTTAAAAAAATTATCCCATATTAACAAAAGTAATTTTATCTGATACTATTATTCATTTTTTAATTTACTTAAATATTTAAATTTAATTATATAAAATTATTTTAATATTGAGAGCATTTAATTAAAAATTAAATTTTAATTAAACACCCCTATTAAGGGTGTTTAAGATCATAAATATTTTTTTTTCTAATTGCGATCCTAACCCTAATTTAACTCATTAAGTTGATTCTTTTTAAAATTTGTTCATTTTTAAATTGGTTTCCAATCAAATAAAAATTCTGAATTTTTTGTTATGTTAGATAAATTCTATCAGATAGTGGTATTTAGAATCTGTAAAATAATTGATTTATAAAACTTCTTAAAGCTTGAAAATTATATGATTTATCTCTAGACATGGTTCTGGAGAATAGAAAAACAAAAATATTCTTTGAAGATAATCCAAAGGATTGTCTTTGGTAATTGTGTATATCTTGCCTTTTGTTGTTATGTTTTAAAAATATAGGAGATATTTTAATTGATTTAAATCAAGCAGTTGTGATGCAAATCTCACAGTCTGAACTGTGTGTGTTGAGAATAGTAAACAGAAAAATTGCTTTTTATTTTTACTTAGTTAATTTTATTTTAATATATATATATATATATATATTTCAGGTTTTAGTTTTAGTTTTGTCATACCTATAATGATGCCTATAAGAACAAAGTATGCTCTTTGATGTTCTTAGTCTCTTTCCCCTCCCCTTATCTGGTTCAGTTCCTATTGTTGACTCGGATGAATTTTCTATTTTGGTAGTTTGAATCTTATCTTCGCCTAGCATTGTGCCACTTATGTTATTCGCGTTGTGATGCGTGGCTCTTTAATACTTTATTCCTGTCTATAGTTTATAAAATTATAGTTTCTGGCTATCCAGGTATTTTAGCTGCTACATGTGACTTGTTGAGCTACAAACCCTGAGATTCAAACACTTTAATTTATGCTTGCAACCTGATTTGTCTCACGATTCTGACTACTTATGAGTTGTAATTCTTTTTGAGATGTTTATCTATGAGATTTGAATTGAGGACCCATTCTATCTTATCCTTTGATTTTAAAGAGATCCATATTTATAAATAAGGTTTCCAAGGCTTATGAAAAATAACTTCATTGATATTACGATTTTATTACTTTTTTTTTTCCGCTCGAGTGCTTTTTGGATGTGATTATTGTGGCATGGTGCAATTGAAAACAATAGTTTACAGGGGAATCACCCCACACCAAAGTCAGGCCTGTATTGTTATGTTGTTACTTTTTTTATTTTCTAATATCTAATTTAGCTGTGTATTCTTGTGTGATTGATAATTTTCAACTTTTTACAATTTACTTTTTTACTTTTGTGGGGTGATTTCTGATTAGTCGTTTGATTGTTTTATGCACTTAAATTTTGCTGTGGGATTTCCATTAGAAAGTTCTAAATTATTGTTTGTATGGATTTTGACGGTTTCCTATTTTATTCTAAAGCAAAGAGTTGTTCTATAAATTTAAATTTTTTGTTTGTGTGCTTGACCTTATGCTTAATTTTGTGCATCCACCACATGTATTGCTGAACTTGAGATTTTTTGGTCATTGGAAAATGAAACATATGCAAAATTAAACCTGAATTACTCTCTTTAGGCATCTGTGTATGGTATTGATTTGTACTTTTACTTCATTCTACATATGTAATTTCTTAAGTCATTACTAATTTTAGTTTGATATAGTTGCATTATTGTTATTCTTTTCAGCATCGTATATTCGTATGTTAGATTATATCTTTGCATAGTCTGTATGTACAATATCTGTTTTAGAGGTTTCTCCTCAAATGACAGTAAGTTCTTGGACATGCTTTAGCACTTTGATTTTGTATGACTTATATTGTTTGATTTAATATTGTCCAATTTTTAATTTCCCAAAGAGTAAAAGAAGGAATATATAAATGTTTTTTTTAAGCACTGATTTTAGAGGCCTACTTGCATCAGATCCCAAATATGATACATGTATTACAACCAAGTAAAATTTACAATTTTGGTAAGTTGAAAGCATATATAATCAACAAAAGAAAAAGCTAGTCATTGTTTTATATTTTTTTATTATTGCAGGTATTTTAGTTATTTATATTTTTATTTCATTATTTGAATATTTTAGTCACTGCTATTAACCTTATCGGTAAACTATTAGTTGTTTGTTAGCAATTTGTAAGCATTTTGTTAAATTTTTTATTTTGTGTGCATCTTGTATTTATTTGCAATTTATTAGCATTTACTAGTTTTTTTTCTGTTTGGCTGTTTATTTTAGTATATTATTTCATTCACCTATAAATATGAGAATTTTAAGACATATATGCCAATTTTTGGCATGAATAACATTTTATTGTGGATGTAAAGACTTCTTTTTCACTATTCTAGATTTTGATCAAATTTAGGAAGACAAACTCAAATTTTTTTTGCCATTTTTGATGACGTAACTCATCTTGGGGAGGTTTAGCGGGTTTTTTGTTTTTTGTTGCATATTAGGTGGGCCTAAAAGACTTGGGCGTGATGTATAAAAATGATCATAATTTATTAAAATTTTATGAAAATATCACACTCAATGGGACCCAATGGAGAAAAAGGATTCAAGTAGCAGACCCCACTTAGTGGGATAAATGTTTGTTGTTGTTGTTGTTGTTACATGAAAAATCGCTCTTGAAGTAGAGAATGCACCGCTTGAAATTTTGGAACCTGAAACTCTTGCCCATCTGCTGCTTCTAATGGGTGCTGTAGAGAAGAGCAGCTGAGCCTTTTCTGAAGAATAAGGTGAACTGCAAGTTTCGTACTTTAAGCTACCTTTCAATAATTAAAAGCCACTATTAAATTTTTGCATAAGCCTAATTTTTGTGAATCTAAACCAGATATTTTGGTAAAGCGATCCTAGTTCTCATCCAGCACCATAAATAGTCTTAATTTTAGAAGTGTGAACATTAATATACTTATGGATAGGAAGTTCAAAATAATGAGCATTAAATTGAACCACAACACTTTGAACTTGAAGTTGAGATCAACCATGTATTAAAATAGCCTAAGTCTATACCAAAGCACATCAACCACCTTTGCTCTAGGAAATCACATTAGGATAGAACATATCTTGTTTTTTTTCAGTATTCATTATGGATATATCCACAATTGATAACATATTCATCATAACTTATTCTCTTATCTATTCATTATAGGCTTGTCCAAAATATAGTTTAAAAAATTGTTTGAGGCATACATTATCAGACAAACTTCCGTAGATGCCTCACAAAAGATGCCTCAAGACTTATGGCTTATTGTCCCTAGTGAGGCGTATGCTTTTTTCTAGAGACTTTTGAGGCATGCAGCTCCAATGATTTTTAAAACATGTTTTAGTGCATGTGTACAAACACGTGCAGCTTTATCATTGTTAGAACATATATTCAAATCTTATTCAGTTTATGATCAAACTTCGTTTGAAGGTTCAAATATGGTTCGAGTAAGATTCAAATAGTCATATGAACAAACTGTTTTCATTCATGTTTCGAAGAAGGCTAGATTATGTTCAAATTAGTTTGAATGATGGTTGATCTTTGTTTGATCATAATTAAAATAAGATTTAAATAAAATTTGAAGGCAGCTTTCACTTTAGATTAATATTTAAGATTGAGATTTTTTTTTATTGTGTGATTTTGTGATTTATGATGATGAAAAAGTAAATCTATCAATGATTTATGGTATATTTATGAATTGTTTTTACTTTTATAAGTTTTTATTTTTAGTTTGATGCTTAAGCTTTGATCTGCTTGAGAATTTTGCTTTATCTCGCTAAGGCAAAATGTTTTAGATGTTGATTTCACCGTTTTAAATCTTGGTCCAAAATACTTTAAATGGAGAAAGGTAACTAAAATAATTTTGCTCTTTTCAAAACCATTATCTACATTCTTAATCTTGGGGAGCTTGATAGAAAAGTGCTAAAACGTATGTGACAAGACTACGAAGAATAGATTGAGATGATTATATTAGATGTATGTGGCAGTAGATATGTTTTTAAGATAGGGGAAAATAGAATTATTTCATTTGGGGACATACAAGTAAATTTAGAAGATACATCAATATGAAAGATATATTTTAAATCAAAGGATTGAGAAAAATGCTGAACAGAAAGCATTTTTTATAGTTGTGTAAAAACATTTGCTAAATTAATTTTAACACTTCATGTAACATTTGATGGAAGAGAATGGAGAATAATGGAAAACAAGGGTTTATAAAACTGACACAATATACTAGGGGCAAGGCTAGTGATGATGAGACATATGTTTTTCTTGTACACAAAATAGAAGCATTGGCACTGAGTTTAATATCCATATGCAACTAGAAAATTAAAATGAGCTGAATTCTATTCAAGAAGAAGAATCATCACAGGAATTATAACTAAATTCATTTCTTACTAGGAATGAAGAAAAAAGAATAATTCAATCACTGGATCATTTGAAATTGGGACAAGGCTATTGATATATTCACAAAATTAATAAAGTACATTACACGACTTTTTGTCAAAATTAGGAGGTCAAGTAGCTGTTTTATTGTTATTTGGTTAACAATATACAATATTTTAACTTATTCATAGGTCCTTCTACAGTGATCTCACTATTGTGAGTCTTGTTTCTTTTGCAATGCAGGTATGATCTGAACAGTTCAGAGCTGGAAAGAAACGTGGTGAAACTGCAGAAAAGGTGCTTGGACTGGATCCCTGTTTTTTCTCCATTATTATCTTTCCAAAGAGATGATATTTGTCTGGTTATTGGGGCAAAATTTCTTTCCTATATGGGAAATTAACATGCCATTCGATTCACATATAGTTATATATAAAACACAAATTTTATTATTTACATGCTTATCGCTCAAGTCTTTAACATCACATAAAAAAATATCACCATTACTAATTTTTTAAAGTGAAATACACATTTTCATGCTTAGTTTTTTAATGCCAATGTGCTATAAATTTAAATATTAAAATTTAGCTGTTAGATATGTAAATACATATGAACTGTGTGGTATGGCATGTATATAAATTTCCCTAAATACATGGCCTCATATAGTACCCTTAACAATTCATATTCAGTAAGTTGATACAATAACTTGCTCCCATTTCTGCATTTTTCTATACAAATATCCCACCTTTAACACATCTCGCAGGAGAGAATACGAAAATCTGAGACGCCGGTGCTGCATGTTAGCAAATCATTCATATCAGGGGAATTCTTTGTTGACTATAGATGAATTATTGAATGAGGTGATACCTGATGAGGATCCTCAGTCTCCCAGAAGCTGTGACGATGATTCTCCAAGGCTCTCACTTTTCATGGAAAGGAATCATGGGGACAGACCAGTCTACGACAAGACCCCTGATTCCGCCTCCTGCAATTTGGATGAAGCGGACGAAGATGAAGAACACACCGGTATCTATCATTTTGATGCCTTCCAAGCTGAAACAGATTCATCAGATTCCGAATCCTCCGTCGAAGAACTGCAAGGTGTTGTAGAGCCCGATCACAAACTCGCCCCTAGTGGTTCAATCTCGCACGATACTTCCATTCGAACTGTCGAAGATTTCACGACATGGCAGCGCATCATTCGACTTGATGCCATCCGAGCAAATGCTGAATGGATTATCTACGCCCCCACCCAAGCTGCGGTCTCAGAAGAGGTAGCTAACAAATCCGCCGAATCCGTAAATTTAAAGGATTACAGTCACCTCGAACCCTCCATGATCTACCATGCCGCTCGTCTTGTCGCAGTGCTTGAGGCATACGCCGTCTACGACCCCGAGATTGGCTACTGTCAAGGTATGAGCGATCTCTTATCCCCGATTCTGACGGTGATGGACGACGATCATGATGCCTTTTGGTGTTTCGTTGGGTTCATGAGGAAGGCCCGGCACAACTTCCGGCTCGACGAAGTCGGGATAAGGAGGCAATTGGCGATTGTGTCTCGGATAATCCGATCGAAGGACGCACAATTTTACAGCCACCTTGAGAAACTCCAGGCAGAGGATTGTTTCTTTGTGTACAGGATGGTGGTGGTGCTGTTTCGAAGGGAGCTCACATTCGAGCAAACCGTTTGCTTGTGGGAGGTGATGTGGGCGGACCAGGCGGCAATACGAGCCGGGATAGGGAGGTCGGCTTGGGGAAGGATTAGGCTGAGAGCGCCGCCTACCGACAATCTTTTGCTCTACGCTATCGCCGCCTGTGTGTTGCGGAGGAGGAAGCTGATCATAGAGAGGTATAGCAGCATGGATGAGATCATGAGAGAGTGTAACAGCATGGCAGGGCAGCTTGATGTTTGGAAGCTGTTGGATGATGCCCATGATCTGGTAGTAACCCTTCATGACAAGGTCTGATCTAATTACTGGAGGAAGAATGAATGATGCTTCATTTTTCATTCTCTCATTGTTGGAGCCGCCAGAGATCTAATGGAGATTTTTGATGCTCAGTAAGTTCTGATTGGCTCTTTACTCTTGCTGTTAAAAAGTTTTTTAGCAGTTTAAAAAACTAAAGTTATTGAATTAGATGAGACTATTATTGTTCTTTTTTGAGGAGAAATGTTAGTTAAATGGCAATACATTGTTTTTAGGATTTAGTGTGGAAAGTTTGAAAATGAGCAAATTATTTGGCATTTTCATGGTCATGTTCTGATGGGTTTATGAAAATCTCAATGTAAAAACCTCAAATCAAATTCAGAATGGTTAAATCATTGCTCAGTTTTTCTTAGTTTTTGTTGAAATGGAGATCAGATTCTGTAGTATTTCATTTTTTCTTGCTGCTTCCATTTCAGAACTCTTTCATGAGAGATGAGTTGATTCATATAAAAGAATTACGAGAAGTTTTCATTGGTTTGTGTTAGATCGTGTTTAAGTAGTGATATTTTTTTTTTCAAAATTATATTTTAATTGACCTGTCAAAATTGTGTTCCGCAGTTATCAATGCTCTCATTGATCATCATCATTGTCATCATCCAATTATCATCGGCTTCTATTGAAAAATTGTTGCATGCGGCCTGATTTAGCATGAGTTCAGATTGGTTAAGGGAGTGGACTCAATTGCAAAACTTTTAATATTGTTTGGTAATGATTTGATTGTAGAAGGATGTGATCTCAATTGTTAATGATGTTAACTATTTAGGCTATAGTCGGCAAAATCTTGGCACAAATGGACTCAAATCAATTCATTTGGAGAGACAATATAGTTGTCAAGGCAATCATGAACTCAGTAGGCTCTTCTACCTCAGCCTTTGTTGATGAATATCATCATTGGTGGCAAACTCCATGGGATAGTATGGGACATATATATGCTTTTATTTAAGAAGATATATGATTATACCAATCTATGATATTAACCTTTTAAGTTTTAAGAAAATTGTAATTCATTGGTGGCAAACTCCATGGGATAGTATGGGACATATATATACTTTTATTTTAGAAGATATATGATTATACCAATATATGATATTAACCTTTTAAGTTTTAAGAAAATGGTAATGAAAATTATTCATATTGATCCCCTATTGAAGGAAAATTGCTTAATTACTTGTATAATTTGCAACCTCATCCTAGATTGTGACATTCTCAAGTAGTACTACTTTATGTTTAATCTTAAAAGTCTCTATCCAAATGAGTTAAGGGGATTAGTACAAAGTCACTTAAATTACTATTTTGATGAACTCAATATGAGAGATCGTAGTTTTTTTTATTTTTTTGGGAAAATGAGGGTCACAATTAGTTTTATTTAAGTTATAATATCAGTAGACTTCTTTTTTCGTAACATTTTTTTTAAGGGTTGATAGTCAACACTAATTTTTTTTTATTTTTTTGGGAAAATGAGGGTCACAATCAGTTTTATTTAAGTTATAATATCAGTAGACTTTTTATTTTGTAACATTTTTTATAAGTGTTGATAGTCAACACTAAATTGACTCCTACATATCATGGTTGCCCCCAATATTTGTGAGTCGAGTGATTTTGCTAATTAGATCACTTTATTTGTTTATTTATTATGTACTAATTATTTATCCATTCACCATTTAATTAATCATCTTCATTTTAGATTTAGTTATAATTTTATTTGAATTATGATTTTTTTTAATTCACTTAACTTTATCTCTTATTTTATAGGGCTTAAAAGAAAAAAAAATCTTATTTTATGGGGCTTAATTTGTTATTTTAGTACTTGTTTTAATCTTAATTTGATAATGTGCCCTCCTAACAATTATGGAGAAAGTTTAAGATAATTGTTGAATAAAAATACCTACTTTTACAATGATTAATAGCATCTTTCAGTAATTTTGGCTATTTAATAAGGGGGTGTGGGCACGACGAGAAGAATCATGGGGAGCTGTGTTTTTATAGGAATAAGCAAAGTTCACACAACTAAAGGTCTGTTTGGGGCAACTACAGTTTATTGAATAATCTGCTGATAAGTTGATTAAAAATAATATGCTGATAAGTTAGGTGTGGTGGCTATCACAACTTTTTTATTTTTTTGGAAAAGTCATACCACAACCAGAAAGTTGTCACAACACCTAGATATGTGCGGTGTGAAAACACTGTTTTCAGTGTTTTGAAAACACACAAGCTGCTACTAAAACAGACTAGGTGCGTTTTCAAAAACCACCACACTAAATAAGCTGTGCCAAACAAACCCTAAATCTTGTATCTCCAATTTTTTGAATTCAAGGATAAAGAGAAATTTACATACATATCACAATCAGGTCCGGAAGACGGCATACTCTGACAATGCAAAATATAATAAAAGGAAATGAACCTATTTTATATTCTCAAAAAAAGACTTTGCATACAAATTAAAAAAGAGAAATAAATTTTATTAATACTAAAAAGTTCACTGATACAACTATACTAAAAATAGAAAACTAGCAAAATCAAAATAGAAATAATAACGTGGAACAACTGCCCAGACCCAACAAAGAAAAAAATACAATAAACAAAGCAAATACTAAGAAAAAATATCAAAACTGGGAAACTAGAACTGAAAAGTTTGCTCTGGTGGCGACGATTGTACCGATAGCTGAATAAAAAAAAAAAAAAAAAAAAACAAAAAAAAAAAAAAAATCAAAGAATGAGTTTGACAAACAAACTCAATAAGTAACAACTATTTATCAAAACATAAATAACAAGAGGTGAGGCATGCAATATGGACAATAAGTAATGACGAATCACTATTATATATGTAACACTGTAAGACGACAAGAGGGGTAAATATCAATTATGCTTATCATATGAAAACATGCAATTATTCCCAATTAAGTTTATTATCATTTAACTTTCATTTATACTTATATATGCAGTCAGTTTTAACAGATACATTGAAATCGGGAAGGACAATGTCAATCTAAAGTAACCCTACAATTTCTTGTAAAGTTGTCACTCTGTGGGCCCGTCAGCCCAGATAACCCAGATCTAAAAGGGTTTTACCGACCTACATTGAAATCGAGAAAGGTCAATATCAACCTAAAGTAACCAGACAATTTCCTGTACAGTTGTCACTTTGTGGGTCCGTCAGCCCAACTAGCCCATATCTAAAAAAGTTTTACCGACTTACATACAATTACACACAAACATATCCAACATTTTCCACATAAATAAGAAGTATGTTATTTTACACAGGTTGGTAATATGACAGGAATTCATATGCAATTTCATACTAGTAGAGTGCAAGAAAATATAATATCATAATTGTAGGATCAATTCAAATATGCAAAAAATTTCATCAATACATTTAAGTAGTTGGTTACTTCATTATGAGTAAAAATAGAATCATATAAAGATGTCATATAATAATTATAATTAAAGAACAAGGTATAACTGACAATCCTATGAAATAATAATGAAGATACTACAAACTACAACGATTAATGCACGTAACGAGCAAGGGTATGTTTATCCTCTTATAAAAAGTTGTTAATTACGTTGAGACTGCAAACATGATGACTCTACGATCCTACACAAAGAAAAAAGATAAAAAAAAATAAAAAATAAAATAAAATATATTTATTTTTTAAATTAGTTATATTATAATAGACCTTCAAGGAATAATACATCCTTAAAAGAAGAAATAAATGAATATTAATTAAAAAATGAACTTCAAATCCTTCAGCTCTCAAATCCCCATTGGAACATAAATTCATGAGATTTAGGGGTTTGGTCTGTTTTTAATTGATATTAAAGAATATGAAATTCCAAAATAAATAAATAAATAAATAAGAGAAAAGTTTCCCCGATATTTTCCTTTCGGGGTCTTCAGCCGAAAAGAACGAAGGAGGCATGAATCCAATCTCTCTTCCCCACCTCCGGCCGCTCACGTTAACTGCGATGATCCCTCGCCGGAGATGGAAGACACAGTTGACGCGTTTCTCGAGATCGCATCACTTTCTCGTGAGGTTCGGCGGGGAGACACCTGAGCAATCGTCGCCTAGCTCCGAAGAAGCGGTGGCCGGTTTTCTAGGGGGACAGTTGGACGAGCTATTGAAGAGGGAAGAAAATCGGCCTCTTCTTGATCGGCTCCGCGAGGGCCCCCCCC